AACAGAAAGTGCAGCTACTTGACATTCCTGAATGCAGTGACAGTTCCAAACCATGGCAGAAGACCCTAGAAAGAAGCTGGTCTATCAAGGTTCAGATGAAGCTGAAAATTTTCATATGGAAATGCCTTAATGACTCTGCCTATTCTGACTAATCTCAAGAGGAAAGGAATGGACATTGATGTGATTTGCAAAATTTGTGGAGATAGCCCAAAAACATTGGAGCATGTTCTGCTAAACTGTTCTAGAGCAAAAAATGTCTGGCACCATGCCTCAGTCACCTGGCAAGGCCTCTCTTCATACACTGATTCCTTCAGAACATGGTGGCAGCAAATTTGCTTGACCAAACACTCTGAAGTTGGAGAGCACAGGATTGAATTGACAACATATTTGTTATGGTGGCTCTGGAAAACCAGAAACCAATGGGTTTTTCAAGACTCAATCCCCCCTCCACACATAACTTTCAAAGCAGCTCACTTGAACTGGTTGGAGTACTCCTCTTTATCGTCTGCAGATTGTTCCTAGTTAGGCTTTCTTTTGGTTGTTTTGTTCTTTGTAAGGGCTTGTAGTTGGCTAGGCTTTGAAGCAGTGGTCATCTTTTGTTCTTACTTTGGTGTTGGTTGTTTGTGCTTGTGTTTTCTGAGGCTCTAGGGCATCATTGAGATGTTCCTCTCATGTTATTGTTATTGGTTCTGGATATTGTATTCGAGCTTTGCTCGCATTTATAATAGTTCTTTCTACCGAATAATTAACCCCGTAACATTCGATGAGTGCGGTTTTGACCTTCGAACGGTTATCCCCGTCGTCGTGTGCGGTTTCGACCTTCGACGGTGCCTAATGATAGGCAGTCTCACTAGCCTAATGGTAGGCAAGTCCGAGGGGAGCTGTACGCCCTTCGGTATTTACTCCCATTGTTGTGTGCGGTTTCGACCTTCAATGGCTAATGATAGATGTGCACATGAGTAAAAGGTTATGATTAGGAGATGTGATATTTGAATGATTCATGTTCATGCTGCGACCATACTTATCTGTCTTAATACGTTGTTTATTGCATAGCGGTGAGCACTACTTTTTCCAATTGTGCTCATCCCTACCTGAAATTCACGTTTCAGGTTAAGCAAGGTGGGCACGACGGCAGGATGGCGAGTGGATGGTCATATTTACATTATTTGCTTCCGCTTTATTTTGAATAAGTTAACCCGAACTGATGAACTTGAAAATGTTAGGTTATGAACATGTTATTTCATTTCAGACCATGTCGTTGAATTATGTTGGTTTTGAACATGTGATTTGGTTCTTATTATTGAACTATGTTTGGATATTCATATTGAATGTGTCATTTGGATATCATGAGAACTGTTGATTTTAGGACAATGAAGTCCATGTGAAAAACTGGGTAATGAATTCCCGTGAGGTTTCAAATATGAATTGAAATCAAGATAATGCCCTAATGATTTGGATTTTGAAAAACAAATTTTGAAAATGTTAACTTGATTTTTGAATAAGCCATGGATTATTTCTTAAATCAAATTGGGGTGTTACAACCTGCTTAGCCAATCCATCTCAAGGATAATGTCAAAGTTCTTCATATCGATCACGTAGGTGTTGGCGTTCAAGCCCTTACTTATGATGCTAATGTTCAAATATTTCACAAGAGATTCGGTAATTATCGTTTTTCCCGAAGCTAAGCTAACCTCGAGAGCTGCGACAGTACTAGCGCTCTTGATCCACGTGGCCTCAAAACAACTCGATGAAATGAATGAATGGATTGCTCCAGTATCACACAATGAATAGACAGGTACATGGTGCACAAATAACATGTCGGACATAGTACGGTGGTTCTGGTCAGCCTGGGTATAATTCAATGCGACCTCCCTGGTTTCGAGACTGTTGGTTTTGCGCCTAATCATGCTTTGGGTGCTGGTATGCGGAGTATCCCGGCTTCTAACACTTGAAGCAGATGCGCTGGCCTGCGAGGCACACTCCTCCATAAGCCTTGCCACAGTCGCCACACAGCGGCGGTCCATCTCGTACCTGACGGATAGGCTGAACATGCTAAGCTGGGGGTCGATCGCCACGTCGATCTGTAACCCTCCGTTTCTTCCCTTGCTGATCACATCTGCCATCCCACTTCCTCTTACCTGCATTCCCAGCTGGCTGGACGTCAAACGGCTGAACCACGGGGACTGGGGAACCACTATCTCAAAACTCTGGCTAGTAGCAATTTGCTGAGCTCAGACAACCGTATCAGCATAGGAAAGGGAGCCATGACTCACCACCATATGTCTGATGTCTTCCCGAAGACCGTTCATGAATCGCCGTGTCTTCTTCTCCTTGGTATCGACAAGGTGCTCTGCAAAGTGCCTCATGCAGGTAAACTTCCGCTTATACTCATCTACCGACAGTACACCTCGGCTTCCGTCTTAAGCCTCCAGTAACTGGACCATCACCTACTAGCGTCCCCTTCCATCTGGAACTGACGGAAAATGATTCTTTGTTCCTCTGTGTAAGCGAGCACGGTCCATTAGTATGAAACATGAATAAACTGATCATATTACCCCTCACAGGCAGGGTTATAAATAGCTTTACCTCTCACAGGCGCTACCCATCACGGGAAGGTTTATAAAAGCTTTGCCCCTTATAGGTGCTGCTCATCATAGGCAGGGTTATACATACTTTGCCCCTCACAGGCGAGAATACTCATACAACATACAACAACCATAATACCACGATAAATATTAAGAATAAGACATAGCATAGCATTCCACATCTTATTTTGGATGATGATGAATATGCAGATGCTTCAAAGGGATGCTCGAGGGCTTGACTCCGCGAAAATCTTCATTTATAGAACAATACTTTTATAAATAACTTATCTTTCTCTTACAGAATTTAATTAGCTTAATGACTTCTTGACTTAGCGATAATTATCTTAATTTTGAAACTCTCGGCTAAGGGTCAAATTAAAGCTCGAAAAAAGGTTCTTGGAACAAAAATTGATGTTCAACACAAAAATTGGTTCAAAGGCTCGAAAATGGTTCATTGGCACGTGACTCGATGCTGGCTGGGCACGACTCGAGTCTGATCGTTGCTGGCACTGGTCACCTGGGAGTGGAGGGTGCAGGTCGCCTAGGCGCTCCCCTACTCAACGCGACCTGGCGCTCCCCAGTGTACCGCGTTTTGGCCTCGCGCGTCTACTCACGGTACGTGCTACGAGCTTGCTGCTTCTGAGATCTGGGAAGCGTGCGCTGGCACGAGGAGTCGCGTGCACGCTCGCGTTGCTGGGACACTGGGAGGCGCGCGCTGCTGGGAGCTACAGGGACGGTGTGCGCGCACGCGGGCATTGGCAGTTGAGGTACCGCGCGAGGCGTCTGGGCTCGCTGCATCGCGGCACGCTGCACGCCTGCGCGCGAGGCACCTGAGAGCATGCAATTTTTAAACATCAAGGCTCAAAATTCATGGTTTTTCACAATGGTTCAAGTAGACATGGCCAAAACTCGGGCCGAGCCCGGGCTGGGTTGGACAGACCCTGAACCAGCACGGCCTAGGTCCGTGCCTTGTCCATTGCCCGGCGAGCCGGGCTGGGCCTAACCCGGGTCTGGTCCATTCAAATAAAAAAAAAGGAAAAAAAAAAAAGAAAATTTGAAAACATGTGTTTTTTTCGTACCGGATCGGACCCGGCCCGGCCCACCGGGTCAGGGTCGAAAAAACAGGACCCTGGATCAACGGGTTTGACCGGGCCGTGTCCGTGCTAGGCCGACGGGCCGGGTGACCCGTGGCCACGTCTAGGTTCAAGGCCAACAAAATTTAAGTTTGTCACAACAATAACTCAAGTTCTTCAAGGCATAAAGGCTAATCATTTTCATGGCTTAAAGGCTAAACATAACAAATCAAAAAAATTTACAAGACTCATGTCTAAAGATTCAAGGCATAAGGAGAGCTCCAACCTTCATAAATCTTCACATAAATCTCAAGCATTTTTCACATCTTTTTATACCAGATCTAAGCATAAATCTTTGGAAAGATTTAATAAAATTGCTTAGAAATATTACCTCTCTTCTTGGATTTGACGAAAAGAGGAGAGATTAGAGCTACTATAAATAGAATTCCAATCTCATTTATTAAGGGTTATTGATTCCTCCACCAACTATTTTTTCTCTCTACATTTACTCTCTCAATTCTGTAATAAACTTGTGATTATTCCAACTGTAACGAAAGTGCCAACCTGGATATAAAAGACCGACCTCGTAATTAGCATAATAAAATCTATTCTAAATCTTCTATTTTTCTTATACAAATCACTTCTAAATCTTCATTTAACCGTTGACCGAATCAGATCGTCAACAACATTTATATTTTTATATTATCTTGCAATTCATGCAATTTATATTATTTCAGGAAAAAAAAAAAAAAATTACACTTTGACTTTTTTATATATATGTATAGCTTGATTGTAAGAATTGAGTACAGTGCTTATTTAATAAATGAGTTGACGTGGCACATTTAATAAAAAAAGAAAAATTTAAGCTCTGAGTTCAACTTGTATAAATTCATTCCGATGAGCTCTTAGTTTTTGAGCTAATTTGAACTTAGCTCGTGCAAATATAAAAGGTACTCAACCTTGAAGTTTTACATATCAAATCAAACCATGTAACAGATTAATTCGATTCATATAATATCAGTACATTACATTTTGCATTTTGAACTGGTGAAAAATATTTGTAGCTACGCCTAGTACTTCCACCACTAGTCTCGTGGTCGGCATCTACCACCAAAGTTTAGCCTAATAAATTAGTAACTTGGTAGCATGTAATGTCATTAGAGGCACAATTTTGACAATTAAATCTCTCCAATACGAGAAAAGTAGACCTAAATCTTCTCTATTACGATTTCTACCCAACGCAAAACTCGCAAAAACGAGAAGCTTTTAGATGAAAATAATAAAACAGAAACGCATAAAATTGAACTCTCCTCATAATCAATTTCCTTTGTGAGAGTCCATGAAAAAGAAAAAAAAAAAAAAACATATATCATATGCTATATAATATAGTCAAACTACTAAAATGATGTTCCTGTAAATCCGCCAACTTAACTCAATTAGGAAATTATTTGAAGTTGGGGGAATCAGTAATTTCATTTCATCTTCTCCACAGATCTATCACGAGGACGGTGACGTTATCAGTGCTGCCACGTGCTAACGCCAACTTAGTCAACAGTACGGACGCATCTGAGCAGGCTTCGTCAGAGCTATCTCCGATGTCATTTTCCGGCCGTTTATGAGACATCAGGCACATACGCGCCACCCCACAGGCAGTCTCGTTTGACACCACATCCCAAAGCCCGTCGCTTGCCAAGATCAGGCACTCGTCCTCCGCCGTACGCTCCGTCACAGTCACCTCCGGCACCGGTATCACGTATGGCTTCAGATAATTATCACCTGCTCAGAGATCTGAATTTATCAGCCCAATAATAATATTTAATGTTAATATAAAATGTTTGAGAAATAAGTAGTTCATATATATTTACCGATTGCGCGAGACATGGCCAGCATCCCAAGGACTCTGGGCCCGTCCCAGAAGATAACCCGGCCGCCGGCTTCTTGTATGCGATTCAACTCGTCCGGCCGGTCCGGCTGCAAACCAAGAGAAAAAAGCAAAAAAAAAATAATTAAATCTAAAACAAACAAATTCTTACGGAAACGGAAATAATAATAATAAAATAATAAAAGAAAAATTCAAAATTACCTTGTGGTCCACAGAAAGGGGAACGGCGACGCCGTTTCGACAAAGCACGGCGCGTGAATCGCCACAGTTGGAGACGACGATCTTGTCCGGGGTGAGAAGGGCGACCACGGCGGTGGATCCCACAGCATCGCACTGTGGTGTTCGGAGCTCGCAGCGACAAGGGGAGGCCACCGTATTCCTGCTCCCGGCCTCAAAGTCCATCTTTGAAAAGCTCTGGACCATCGTCTGCTCCCACGAAAACGAGGACGACTCGCCCTTTTCAATCTCCTCCCCCACAATCTCGTGCATCCTATCCCGGCACCTGGTCGCCACCTGCAATCAATCAACGCATCCATTAATTCAAAACTACAGCAGTAATATTTCTTAAATTTAAATTCGATTGTTCCTTACGTGTGAGCATCCATGGCCATCGTAGACTCCGAAGAAGTGCCAACCGGAGGGAGAATCTCGGTTCCGGCCGCAAAAGTAAGGGTGGATCGCGACGGCGTCCTCCATGTCCCGCCGCCGCCCGCAGATTGAGGTCAATCCGAACTTTGGAAGCTCCGGTTTTAGTCCACGGGATGAACCCCAGCGCAAATCAGACAGATCACGAAATGACTTCTTCGTCTCGCGCTTTTTCTCCTCAGATAGCTCACCGATATTCTCCTTTGGTTTTTCTTCATCCTTCACGACGGCATCAACCTTCAGCTTCTTCCTCCTCCTGCCGGCGCCGTCCTCCGACAAATCGACCGGCGAGAAGTTGAACTGGTGGATTTCCATCCTCCGCCGCCTGGCGGATTTGGTGGTTGGCTCTACGGGGGCAGTGGTCTGCGTCTCCCCCACATTCATTCCGCAACACATGCCAGACATGGATCCAAAATCCCAATTTTCCTTGCGGATATTTTTATGGTTAATAAAACTAGAACAGCTTCGAATAACTAAAATTGAAAANAGCAGCCAATAATTTGTAGGCAAAGAGATGGGGAAGTCTGAGAAAAAGGAGAGCACAACATCAAACATAGTAGTGGTTGATTAGGCGGGCAGCTGCCCGTCACCGCTTCGGGCAGGTAAGGGAAATGTACCCGACATGCACAGTTGGTGTGACGTAAAATCGCTGAACGAAAGCAGGGTGATCTGAACCGTCGATCTGAGGGATCGTGAATTGTAGAGCAACACGTTGCAGGGCCAGATATTATTAGGGTCTGTACGTGTGCCAATCAGAGGCAGGCACGAGATGTGAGCAACCAGACCCCGTCATTTACTGACACCTGTTTAATTCTTCTTTTATTTTTTTATTCGATTTCCTCATTTGATGGGATTTTTTATGAAAAGTAATGGGATTCCAACCACGTGGCATGATCGTAATACGAGATACAGCTATTTGCTGTGGTCGACGCCTTGCGTGATATTCCATCATCACAAAAAGATGATTTCGAATCAGATAAAAATTAATTATGTCTGTACATGGACCATAATGCGAAAACGAAACGTACATCTCGGACCCTTTCCATCTTCCGATTAGGGTCAATTTGCTTTATACCACAATATATATTTTCATTTTTTTACACACTATCCCATTGAATCGCATATTTGTATTGCTTCATTTGATTTGAAGAACCGACTCAGTTATTTTATTTTCTTAAGTGCATTGCATTTCATATTTTTTTATTCTGCTCGACTAAGTGTAATAAGGTAATTAAATTATGTAAATATCTTCATCTACTTAAAATTATCAAAAATTTTGTTAATGCTTTTGCTAAGCCAAAGCCAATCCACATATTGCTTAAGTGTAGCTTCTTTTGTGAGCCTTCTTCTTAGCAGGGCCGGCCCTGGGCCAGGACAGTATGGGCGACGGCCCAGGGCCCAAATCGATGTAAGGGCACTATAATCCAGCCCATACACATTACATATATATATATATATATATATATATATTATATATATATATGATACTGTTATATTATTATATATACCTATTAGTTATTAGTCTATTACCTAATGTCCTTTTCTCTTCTTTTCTTGCGTCTCGAGAGTTGAGACTCATGAATATATTTTAAAAAAAAATTAAAATAGGTTTAATAATTGAAGCAACACACAAAAAGTACCAAATGGTCCAAAATCAATCTCTCCTTTCATTCTCGATTTTTTCTCAGTGTGTTCATCTTCCCCTTCTTTCTCTCATTCCCCAAATTCTAACGGTCATTAATTTTTTCAGATTATAAATGGCCCAACCCTTTTTTAAGTGAATAAGATTTCACCCGAGCTCCTTCAACTAGAACGGCCACCGGACTTGCAAGAACCCAACGCCGGGAGGGGTCCCGGCGTCGGGCCTCCGACGCTCAAGTCAGTATCACTCCAAATCAAAGAGTATAACTATGAATGTAGAGAGAATGAGATAATGGGATACCTTAGCCCTCTTTTATATGGGGAGTGTACCTTATGGCCCAAGTTGAGCTTGTCCAATAGCATTATGCCACATGTCCTAGCCATGTGTAGGCTTATTCTTCAATATATTTCCTTTTTATCCATTAAACCCGGTCTAGTATAATATCCTATATCATCTACTCCCCCCACTCTGGTCGAGTAAGCATGACTCGATCCAAGAGTGAAATTCCTCTTCGGGCTGTTTCTGTCAACCTGCCACTGAGGTTATAATTTGAATAAATCATTGACCACCAAATAGACACCAAACCTCCAAATGAGCATCGGGACCCCAAATGAACACCGAATGACCACTAAGGTCAAAAACCGAAAGACCCGCCACTAGGGTCAAATACCGAAAGACCTGCCTCTGAGGTCGAATACCGAGAGACCCGCCACTGGGGTCGAATATCGAAAGACCTGCCTCTGAGGTCGAATACCGAGAGACCCGCCACTGGGGTCGAATACCGAAAGCTGAACAGCTAGTGAGGTCGAAAACCGAATAACCCGCCAATGGGGTTGAACACCAAAATTCGAAAGACCGTTGAGGTTGAGAACCGAAAACCGATAGACCATCGAGGTAGAAAACCAAAAACTGATATACCACTGAGGTCCAAAACTGAGAACCGAGGCACCACTGAGGTCGAAAACCGAGTGACCACTGAGGTCGAACACTGAGTAATCTAAGGTCGAAAACTGAGTAACCGCTGATGAGGTCGAAAACCAAGTGACCGCCGATGAGGTCGAAAACCAAGTGACCGCCGGTGAGGTCGAAAATCGAATGACCGCCTATGAGGTCGAGAACCAAGTGACCGCCGATGAGGTCGAAAACCAAGTGACCACCAGTGAGGTCGAAAACCAAGTGACCGCCGGTGAGGTCGAAAATCGAGTGACTGCCTATGAGGTCGAAAACCAAGTGACCGCCGATGAGGTCAAAAACCAAGTGACCGCCGGTGAGGTCGAAAACCGAAAACCGAAGTCTTGAATTTAAAATTTTGAACTTACGTCTTGTTGTTTTTCGATCACCATGTTCGAGCTCTCTCCATTCAAAGATATGTCTTTCCTACCACCTCCTCCTATCATCGCCCCCTCAGTTCAAAATTTGAAATTCAACCTTGTTGTTTATCCTCTCGAAAAACGAATGTCCTGACACCACACCGAAGTCGAAAGCCGAATTTTGACAAAACCAAATAAAATCATCAACCTGAATAACTTGGCTCCGTGAACTGCTCCGAGTGAACTCCCTTGACCTATCTCGGAGGTCGAAAAATAAATTCGACAAAACCACAATCAAGTAAAAATCATCGACCTACCACCGAGGTCTTCGAATAATCTCCACGAATTGCGCCAAATAAACTCCCTCGACCTGCCCCGGAGATCGAAAAATAAATTCGGCATAACCAAAATCAAATAAACATCATCGACCTACCACCGAGGTCTACAAATAAACTGCCCGAGTTGCTCGAAATGAACTTCCTAGACCTGCCACTGAGGTCGAAAAACAAATTCGACATAACCAAAATCAAATAAAGATCATCGACCTACCGCCGAGGTCTGCAAATAAACTCCCAGAGTTGCTCGAAATGAACTTCCTCGACCCGCCACTGAGGTGGAAAAATAAATTCGACATAACCAAAACAAATAAAATTATCAACCTGCTCGAGCTATCCGTAACGAGCTTCATCGACCTGCTCGAGCTACCCGTAACGAACTTCATCGACCTGCCACTCCGAGGTCTCCAATAGGATCCATGTCTTCACCGACCCAATACTAGGATCGACCACCCATCCTGGAGCCTTAATCATGGTGGATTTTTGTCTTCGAGCACATGTCCACCCTCGAAGGAGTGGTCATTACATGCGACCACCTAGCCCGGAGGCGTCATGGTGGATTTTTCTCTTCGAGCACATGTCCACCCTTAAAGGAGTGGTCGATACATGTGACCACCCAGCCCGGAGGCCTTAGTCGTGGTGGATTTTTGTCTTCAAACACATGCCCACCCTCAAAGGAGTGGTCGTTACATGCGACCACCCATCCCGGAGGCCTTAATCATGGTGGATTTTTGTCTTCGAACACATGCCCACCCTCAAATGAGTGGTCGTTACATGCGACCACCCAGCCCGGAGGCCTTAGTCATGGTGGATTTTTTTCTTCTGAACTGCTCGAACACTTCGACCTGCCACTGAGGTCGACAAGAAAACACACCAAACACCACGAGACAAAATAGTAATTGATCATTTTCATTAGCCCTATTAAATGCATAGTTATATCAAACAAGATATAAAAATAAACGAGATCAAGCATTTTTTCGACCTCCCTTTCCTGTCGGTACACGACGACCTGAGTTGCTGTTTGCTCCATGTTTTCCACTCCTCACCATAACCAATATCCAGTCCACCTGCTCGTGCATTTTCCTCAGCAACATTCAACAAGTTCCATTAGTCGTATTTTATCCACATCATCCAATTTGCAATCCCGATAGCAATAATAACCAAAGACGAATAAATCAAGGCAATCACATTGGTCCACATTCGTTTATACTACACCTCAATCTACATGCAAGTCTCTGCCACGATAAGAAATCGCATAAACGCCCACTCAAATGCACAGTCAACCAGAATTTCATAAAGTCATGAATTCAACAAACAATTACAACAAACCATACTCGGCAGTTACAAACAATCATTAAACGAATGCACCAAACAAAAATTTAAATGAGTTACTCCCAATACCGAGCTCCTTAGTCATGACGATTTGAGACTGGCCAGCCTGAAGGCCTTATTCATGCCAGAGTTTTGTTCGAGACTCCACGTATACCTCATTTTCTGCGTTTTGTTAGTCACCTGAATAATAATGCTGAAGGTCGAGAATGCCACTCCCAATTATCCTACCTCTCCAAAAGAGAATGATTTATGCCTCTGAAATTGCCACTTGCGATCGGCACCATCCAGACTCGTCCCTCCTTATCACCCTGCTTTGATGGTTTCGTGCTCACTCATTTTGTCCTCGAAACTCCACAACTCGTCCGACATAGCTTGTCGAGACTCGGGTTATTTCGTTGTTTCCTCGACAAGAATTCAAAGAGATATCCTTATCCATATTATATTCACATCATCCATTTTGCAATTCTCCACGCAAGAAAAACAAGAGATCATATACAATCATCACCATCTCCTCGATTTAAGACATGCTCGAGCAATGACATGCTTAAAAACTATGAATAATCAATTTGAACAAAATTCCACATTTTTTCCATAAAAATCTAAACGAGAGGTTCCGAGTAATCAATATATCAAATCACATAATTTTAATCCATCTCTCGAGCCCATCGGTAAATGAACCAAACACACGGTAAGCACCACCACAAAATGTCCTCAATTCGAGACCATGACTCGCATTTATTTTCAATCAAATAAGTTTTCCACGGATAAATCAAATAATTTTGCCCGAATAGATCGAATATATTCTCCACGAATAAATCAAATAAACTCCACGAATATATCAAATATTCTCCACAAATATATCAAATAAT